GTCTACACTGCAGTGGGGATCAGGGCTCAGCGTCTACACTGCAGTGGGGATCAGGGCTCAGTGTGTTCACTGCAGTGGGATAGGGCTCAGCGTCTACACTGCAGTGGGGATCAGGGATCAGCGTCTACACTGCAGTGAGGATCAGGGCTCCGTGTCAGCGTCTACACTGCAGTGGGGATCAGGGCTCAGTGTGTTCACTGCAGTGAGATCAGGGATCAACGTCTTCATTGCAGTGGGATCAGGGCTCAGTGTCCTGGGCTGACCATTGGGTGAGGACTCTCCCTTGGATTTCTATTGGGCTGTGGACACTATGGTAGTAGTTTCTTCCCCTCTCCCCCTCCTTTCTTCCTCTCCCACATGCCCCTTCTCTCTCTCTTCCTCTTCCTCCTCTTTTATATGAATGTGTGACCTCCTCAGTGTCCCCATCTCTCCCTTTTTTGTTGTAATGCATCTGTCCACTCCCTGAGGAGTCCTATCCTGAGAGCAGGCCCACACACTTTCAGGAGGCCATGTGGACACACACGCAGGCAGGCCTCCCCACACTCCTGAGGGTGTATCCCCACATTCAGGTTGGTCGTGGGAACAGCTACTCCTGCTTGTGGAGGCTGTATTGGCAGCTAGTAGGGTCAACTCTGTGACAACGTCTAAGGCCAGGAGAGACTGAGAGAAACACAGGCAGGTCCCAGGGCACTGGGACAGAATTCAGAAACTTTATACAATGGCCAGCTGTCCTCAGTGCGCACACCTGTGACTGCTGTCCAGTGAGAGGGACTAGAGTGTGTCTTTCTGAAGTAGGGACATGTGTTTTTGGTATTCTTCCTACCACACCCGGCTCACTGTGGCCAGTTATCCCTGTGGATCCTGGGAGCAGTGCTACCACGCCCCTGGCCCCTGGTCCTTGTATGGGACATCAAACGTCACAGTGTGGCATTGCTTTCAGAGTGACCACTCTGCAGGACAGCTCCCATGTGTCTGGGCCCATGATACACAGAGCAGCTGGTCAGGCTTGCTAACAGTTTCTCTTCTGTCCCTTTCCAGGGCCAGGTATGGATCAACGGGTTTAACCTGGGCCGCTATTGGCCTGCACGGGGCCCCCAGATGACCTTGTTTGTGCCACAAAACATCCTGGTGACCTCGGTCCCCAACACTGTGGTCGTGCTGGAACTGGAGCGCTCGCCCTGTGAGGTCCCTGAGCTGTGCACCGTGGAGTTTGTGGACAAGCCAGTGATTGGCAAGCTCGCTACCACAAAGGTGCCTAGGAAGAACTCATGACTGTGTGAGGAAGCACGCCCAGGCTGTGGCGAGGCTCGCACCACACGTGTCCTCCTCTGAATGTGAAGGTGCGGGGATCTGGCTGGAGAGCAGGCTTCGGGCAGGCCGTGGTTTCCCCATGGCCTCGAGGTCACTGCCCTGGACGCCAGAGGCCTGTCCTGCCTGGACAGGTTAGCAGAGCTGGAATGAAGACGCGGTGTGTTTCTGATTTTCACTTTGAAAGAATCATGTCTTTTTGCTAAATAAAATTTATGTTCAACTGATGATGTTGCTGTTTCTTGACATCAAACAAGTATTTTTTTTTTTATCGAACAAGTATTTAATTGTATGGTCTGATTTAAATCATATCTATCTTCACGTCCGAGGAGCCCTGTGAGGCTTTGGTTAAGCACTCAGCCACTAACAAAAACAGATGAACCTCTTGACTCCAGCGGTGCGGGAAGGAGCCATGCCAGTCAGCGTCCGTAGAGACTGATGGCCCCAGAGGCCCTGGGAGACAGAGCCACTCTCCTATGGGTCAGTGTGTGTTAGAATTGATTTCAGAGCAGCAAATTTGAGTGGACCACTTTGCTCCCTGCAGGTTTAAAGGGGTAGGAAAGTTCATTTCCATTGTAAGTAGCGGGCGACTGCTTTTCTGGGCCTTGTTTAACTTCTTTTTTATTTCTGTTACCCACCGCTCCAAACTCCCTGCCATCCAGTGGTGCCAATTCTTTCAATTAGCAATAATCGCGCCTCGGATAAACCTCACTGGCTACGATATTGCCACTGCGCAAAGCTGGTGCCAATTCTTAGGAACCGAACCCTCCATCAGATTTTCTGAGGCTGTAAATTTCCCAGGAGAAGATTACCCATCTTTCTCCCTCAGAACCACTGTGGATTCGAACCACTAGAGACGTGTGGATTCAAAGTTAGCAACATGACTTGCTAACGGCTCCACGACCATTGTTCCTGTCATACCCTCTAGTCACCCATAAATAGAATTCATTATAGAGTCAAAGAGTCAATGCTAGGGAGCTCTAGGGGCCTAGTGGCAAGAAGCTGCACTGCAATCTTGAAGGCTCACGGTTCAAATCCACCAGATGCTCTGCTGGAGAAGGAAGGGCAATCTCCTCCTGTGCCAGTCGGACCCAATTCGACGGCACACAATAAGAATATTAAAAAAAAACAAAAAAGAGTCCATGCTGTGGAGTTACAACCCAATCACAGCTGATCCTCTTGCAGGTTTTCAGAGGTAATAAATCACACAGGAGGAGATCATCTTTCTCCCTCTGTGTCACTGGTGAACTTGAACTGCCAGAGACATAGGCTTTGGGATTTGTTTGTTTAAAATTTATTATTTTATGTGTGTACCATCAAATCAGATCTGACTGGTACAGGAGGAGATTGTCCATCCTTTTCCAGCAGAGCATCTGGTGGATTCAAACTGTACACCTCTGGGATTGCAGTGCAGCTTCTTGCCACTAGGCCACCGGCGCTCACAGACATAGCCTTTAGATTGACCGCATAACTCCTCACCCACTAGATCACCAGAGCTCCCTCAATTTATTAAAGGAAATGTGCGAATAACCTAAATGATCAATAATTAGAGTGTAGGTACTGTGGCATTTGCCCAATAGAATGCTACGTAGCTATTAAACGATGGAGTCCTGTTGGTGCAAGGTGAAGCACTCAGTTGTTAATCAAAAGACCAGCCATTCAAAACCACTCTGGGAGGGAAAGCTGTGGCCAGCAGATTCCGAAAAGAGTCACTTAAAAAAAAATATCAAACTTCCACCGCTGAGGATTTGCAGCTGGTTCATAGCTGCCTCTTCGGCAGGTTTGCCAGGCTGTAAATCACCCAGGAGGAGATCGCCCATTTTTCTCCCTCAGAGTCGCTGGTGGACTTGATCTGCCAAAGACAGAGCCTTAGGATTTGCAGCACAACTCTTCATAATCATTTATAGAGAAACTCTAAGAGGAATAGGAATTTTAGAACATTTATCTGGGCTTATGGGGTACATGGACCCAGAAGCAGTCCTTAGACTAGAACAAGGGGATGCTGCAAGGCTTAAAGTCAGAAAAGGTGTGCATCACGGTTGTATCATTTCATCATGCCTATTCTGTCTGGATACTGAGCAAATAATCCAAGAAGCTGGGCTGGGCAAAAAGAAAAAAGAATGTGGCATCAGGATTGGAGGAAGACTCATCAATAACCTATGATAGATGACACAGCCTCACTTGCCAAAAATGAGGAGGTCTTAAAGCAGACCCTCCACTGGAAAATATCACACAGGAAGAAATTTCTCATCTTTCTGCTGTGGAGCTGGTGAACTGGAACTGCCAGAGAGGTGAGGCCTTTGAATTAGCAGCGCAACCCTTTAAGGACTAGGCCGCCAGAGCTCCCTACCCATTTTAGCAGCAATCAAGAAATCAAAAGGTGTATTATAATGGGCAGATTTGCTACCAAGGACTTCTTTAACGTGTTGATGAGCATGGATGTCCCCATA